TACTCTGTCCCTGTCTCTACTGGAAATGTTTGTGTGTCACTGTGGAGTAATCCACCACGAGAGGATGTCTGAGGGAGCATGGCACCTTATGAGCACGTGAAGCTTGACAGCTTCAAGCAGACCCCAAAACTGGTGGAAAAAAAACAAAAAAAACCAAAACAAACCCAAAACTACAACAAACTATTGCCTGACGTGCTGTCCAGTATCCTCCAGCCAGCATATACGTGCTGTGGGTGGTCACCCTGACTTTTCTCATCCGATCTCACGTGCATGGCAATGACCTCCAGCCTTTGCTAGCCCCAGGGGAAATGACTAATTAGCTGGAGCGAGATGCTCGTTAGCAGGAGAGGAGGTGCTGCTGTGTAATTAGAAGGAGAGTCCCTCCAGAATGGCTGCAGTGCTTTGTTGTGGTTTCCAGAGTCACGGTCTGCCTTGGTCAGCCCTCTGATGAGCACCCTGAGTCACGACAGCATCACCAACATCCCCCAGAAGGCAAAACCACAACATCTATTGGCTTCTGGAGATGATGAATCAGAGCAGGGAGGTTGGCCAGAGCAGCTCCACGCTTGCTTAAGCGTCCCCAGCAGGAAGCCAGGTTGGAAAGGAGCCTCAACCACCCCCCTCCCCATTAAATAGTCCCACTTTTCTTGCTTGTAGAATTGAGGATGAGGAGAACTACTACCGCCTGCACGTGGACGGGTTCAGTGGGACAGTGGAGGACTCCTTTGCCTGGTACCACAACAAGAGGAGCTTCAGCACACCTGACTCAGGCAACATTTGTGCTGAGATTTCCCACGGGGGCTGGTGGTACCACCAGTGCTTTTTTTCCAACCTCAACGGGGTCTACTACAAGGTGAGCAAGAGGGATGAGGACACGAGGGGGTGTTTTCTCGTGGAGTCGTTTGGGTCGTGAGAAATCTTGAAGATCATCAAGCCCAACCTTGAACCCAACACCGCCAGGTCACCACGATGGTGGTCTCCAAATGGTGGGTTTCTTTTTAATGCTTGGGCTTGGAAATCTTGAAGATCCAACCAAAACAACTCTATGACTCTCCAACCTCAACGGGGTGCGCTGGAAGGGAAGGTGGAGGGATGAAGGTGTAGGTGTTACCACACAAGGTCCAGGGGTGGGAGGAGGTTGTTGGTCCTCATATCATAGCAGACCTTCTGGGCTTGACCAGCTTCTGCTCTCCAAGGATGGAGCAAAACAAAGGCTGGGCACCAGGGCAGCCCAACCTGTTCAATGCCATGGGCCAGAGGCAGGGTTGAGACACCTCTGCAAGCTGGGTTTGGGACTCCATGGTAGGAACCTGTGGTTGGAGTGACTAATGTAGCTTGAGGTGGATGGATGAAAGCTCCATTGGGACCATTTGAAAGGTGTTGAGCTTCATGTGCTCTTGTCACCACATGGTCATTAAACTCTTTGCTCCAGTGTTTCAGAGCAATGTGTTTTCTGGTGCTTCCCTCCCAGTGATGCTTCCAGGTGTTTTGTAGAATCATAGGGTGGTTTGGGTGGGACAGGACCATCAAAGGTCATCCAGTCCAACCCTATTGCAGGGACAGGGACATCTGCAGCTAGAGCAGGGTGCTCAGAGCCCCATCCAACCTCCCCTGGGATGGTGCCAGGGATGGGGCAGCGACCACCTCTCTGGGCAGCCTGGGCCAGGGGCTCAACACCCTCAGCAGCAACAATTTCTTCCTTCTCTCCAGTCTCAATCTCCCTCTTGGAGTTTCCAACCATCCCCCCTTGTCCTGTCCCAACAGCTCCTGCCCCAAAGTCCCCCCCAGGTTTCTGGCAGGCCCCTGGCAGTCCTGGCAGCCCCCAGCAGGTCTCCCCAGCTGGAGCCTTCTCCTCTGGGGCTGCCCCAGCCCAACTCTCTCCTGCTGGGCTCCCAGCAGAGGGGTTCCCCCCTCGGGGCATTGCTGGGGCTCCTCTGGCCCCGCTCCAGCAGGTCCCTGGCTCTGCTGTGCTGAGGACTCCAGAGCTGCCCCAGAACTGCCGGGGGGTCTCCCAGAGCTGGCAGAGGGGCAGGATCCCCTCCCTGCCCTGTGCCCACGCTGCTGGGGGGGCAGCCCAGGCTGGGGGGGCTCCTGCCCAGCTCCTCACCCCCAGGGCTCCTCCCTCAGCCTCTTTCCACCCTGACCATCCTTTCCCCGTGTCACAGGGTGGCCGATACTCCATTAAGAACCGGAAGATGCTGGGGCCAGATGGGATCGTGTGGTACTCCTGGAAGGACACAGACTACTACTCCCTGAAGAAGGTGGTCATGATGATTCGACCACGCACTTTCCGGCCCCACCTCTCCCCATGAAGGAGCTTGGGACACTCCTTTCACTTCACCTTGGGAACAAAGGGCTGGAATTAGCTTGCTGAGAGCAAATACTGATGCTGGAGATCCTGGCTGGCCCAAACCACCATCCCTATTGCTGCTTGTTTGCTCTTCAGAGAGCTGAACCAACAGTAGAAACATCAAGACCTTCAATGAGCCTATGGGTGGTAAGAACTCTCCTGAGGACATGGGAATGATGGCTGAGAAGTTCTTTGCAAAGACAAGCACATGGTTTGACAGTTCACCAGGCCAGCAGCAGATCTTGGCAGGCTTGGACATCCCTAGAGCTTGAGGCTGAACCCAGTTGGCTGAGTGGTGGGAGTCAGCCACACCCTGAGCCTGGACCTTCTGTGGAATGGAGATGTTGAGTGGCAACCAACCCAAACAAAGGACCAGCCACCCTGTATGAGTTTTCCACGTGGGATGTGGTGGACCTGTTCTTCTACCCTAGGAGGAGCAGCTTTCTGGTCTTGGTGGAGCTTCTCCATTCACATCACCACGTCTGTAGGTCCTTCACCCCAGGGTGGCTCCAAGGTGCTCAGGTGGCCCTCAGGAAAGCCAGGATAACCAGCGTGGGCCAGTGAGGAGGAAGGTCTGCATTGACCCTCACCTTCTCCACCAGGGAATGGGTTGCAGATGGGGACATCAGCTTGCTGGGATAACAAAACCCTGAATGAAAAGATTTCAGAATAAAGAATGCAAGTTTTCCCTTTTCCATTCCACTCTCCCCTTTCCAACCTTTTAACTTTGGGTGAGTTTTCTGTGCCCCCCAAAATGAAGAAAAGATTTCAGAATAAAGAATGCAAGTTTTCCCTTTTCCATTCCACTCTCCCCTTTCCAACCTTTTTTTCTGGTGAAGAACTTTGGATGAGTTTTCTGTGCCCCCTGAAATGAAGACCAGACATGAATTGAAATCCTGTTTCACTGCCTTACTCCAGATGAAGAGGTTTTGTCGTTGCTGTCTTCATTTTCCAGCTAGAAACCCTCCTTCTGACTTTGCCTCCTTGAAGAATCAAGAGGTGGCCTCAGCCCTGTGTTTGGTGAGGAATATTTCATCAAATGACCTTTCTCCTGCAGATGAGGTCAAAGAGGATTCAAAGGTTGGAGACAACTCACAGTTCCACCCACTTGTCTCCTGGTTGTGGTGCTCTGCTGGCTTCCCAATGGATTCTGTAGCTTTTACACTACTCTGGATGATATTTTGCCTGGAACCTCATTTTTTCATGGATGAATCAAGTGGAGAAGTTACCTTCCAAGCCTCCTACCAACCAATATCCCCAAGACAATAAACCAACGTTGTTTTCTCCTGCTAGCTTTGCCTTGGTGTTCCCAAGAGGTAGCTGATGATGTTGGGGAGCTGCAATGGGCAGGTCTGGGCTGCTGTTGGACCCTCCCTTCCCATGGGCACCATCAGAGGTGGAAGAGGAGCTTTCTTGTCCTGGGACATGCCCATCTCTGGTTGGTTGGGGTTGCATCTGGCTTTTCTGTCCAGGTCTCTGTTCTGAGAGTCAAGCAAGTGGCACAAAGTGTCTCCTTGGGAGGTTTCTTGAAAGTCAGACCTTTGCTTTGTGCTTGTCCCTTCTATGTCCTGGCTGTTCCTGGGGGATGGTGCTCCAGGAGAAGACCCCACCATGGCAAAGACCTGGTCTCCATCACTGGTCTGGGTTAGAAAGGACCTTAAAGATCATCTAGATCCAACTCCCTTGCCCTGGGCATGGACACCTCCCACTAGACCAGGATTTTTTCCCCTCCTAGCTTTATTTGTTCCTGTTTTCTTCACTCACAGCCCCATCCAACCTGGCCTTGAACACTTTTTGGGATGGGTGTCCTGCTTTTGGTCTGGGACAGAGTCAACTTTCTTCCTAGTAGCTGGTGCAGTGCTGTGGCTTGGGTTTCGTGTGAGAAGGTTGTTGGTAACACACTGATGTGTTGAGTAGCTCCTCAGTTGGTGCTTATCCCAAGTCAAGGATTTCTCAGTTCCCCACTTTTGCCAACCAGCAGGTGCTGCCATGGCAATGGGGCATCCACAGCTTCCCTGGGCAACCTGGGCTCACCAGCCTCCCAGTGAATCCCCTGGCTCTTCTTCTGTAGCCCTGAGGACCTGATGTTTTGCTGTTGTCCACTCCTTGGGTAGCCTGATGGGTCATTTGGCCTCACTGTAGACCTCAGCGTGATTCCAGCTCTCTCTGTGCTTCCTTACCAGGCTGGCCCACTCCTCAGCACCCAGCACAGGGCTGAAATTTGGCTCCAGCTCCCTGCTCAAGGCTCCAGGCAGAGGAGAAGGCTCTGGGGAGACCTGCTGAGGACTGCCAGGGGCCTGCCAGAAAGCTGGGGGGGACCTTTGAGCAGGGGCTGTTGGGACAGGACAAGGGGGGATGGTTGGAAACTCCAAGAGGGAGATTGAGACTGGAGAGAAGGAAGAAATTGTTGGTGCTGAGGGTGTTGAGCCCCTGGTTGCCCAGAGAGGTGGTTGCTGCCCCATCCCTGGCACCATCCCAGGGGAGGTTGGATGGAGCTCTGAGCACCCTGCTCTAGCTGCAGATGTCCCTGCTCCCTGCAGGGGGGTGGACTAGACCTTTGATGGCCCCTTTCCACCCAAACCACCCCAGATTTCTATGACTCTTCAGGGCACAAGGGTAAAACAAACCCATCCCCTGTTGCACATTGTCCCTCCCACCCCAATTTCCCCCCCCAGTCCCTTTCCCCTTCCCAGTGTAAGCAGCACTGGGATGTCCCCCCTCTAAAAATAAACCACACCCAGGAGGCTGCCAGGATCATGAGAAAACCAAAGAAATGCCAAGGCAGTTTATTTACAACCGTTGTGTACAAAAAAAGGACAGCTCGTGCCACAGCTAGAACAGCCCCTCCACCTCCATCCCCCACCACCCTCTCCTGTGCTCCCCTCCCCAGGCTGGTGCCCCCCCCAGGGGTGCCCGCCTCTCGTGGCACAGGTTCAGAGACGTGGTTCCCTCTTTGAGCAGAGCTTGGAAAGTCTTATCTGGCCCTAGTAGAGACCAAACCCTGTGTCAGCATCAGGGTTGGAGGCTGAGGAGGTGGCAGAGGCATCGCAGCACCTCCTGGACCACTGGCTGCTGGGAGAGGGGGGCACCTACCCACCCCCCCAGATCCTCCTCCTGCTGGGGAGGGTCTCACTGCAAGCTCCTCTGCTTCACCCACCCTCCCTGGAGGTGAGGACCACCCAGGGGATTGCAGGGTAGCTTCTACAAAGCACCTCCTGGGCCAGTCACAAGCTGTTGATGGGATCCCAAATTGACCTTCCTCCTTGTTGTGGTGTCACCAGGAGGTGCCGTCACCTCAGGGTGCTCCCTGTGGCCATTGTCTTCTCCAGAGAGGCATCTCCACCCCAGTTCTGGCTCTCTAGCTTCATTACCCCCAGCTCCTCTTGGTTTTATCCATCCCTTCCTTCCTGCTTTTCCTCTCCTGCTCTTGTTCTCCATGGAGGTGTTCTCCATTTTCAAACAGCCATCCCAAGCTGCCACCTCTCAAAGCTTTCCAGCAGAAAAGGGGATTCCAGCCAAGAATTCCCACAAAGATGATTCTGAGGAGGTTCTTACAAGGAAAAAAATAAGTATCTCTTTGGGAAGTCATGGGGCTTTTCAGTCTCACCCTTGAAAAGGATCATCAGCCTCTCCTACAGCCAGATAAAGACTTTGGAGCAAGCGAGCCTCGCCCTCTGACCACCTCCAACGGTGGGATCTCTTCTCTCCCTTCCCCAAAACGGTTCTGTAAGGTCTATGGGCAAATTAAGCCCCCTCTGGGCAAGAGGCCCCGAGTCCTGGCAGGATAAAAGGGATGGAGGGACACCAAGAGAGGGGGTGGGATGGAGGAGAGGAAAGAAGTCGGAGGGCCGCCCGCCCGCTCGTCCTGCCTGCCCAGCACCAAATGAAAGTCACACACAACGCCCATATCCCCCCTCCCTTTCCCTCCCCACCTGCTCCGTGTGCCCCCACCCCGACGTTCCTGAGGTTGGGGGGGTCACCTCTTCAGCTTCACCAGCCCTGGGCTGTCTCCTCCAGACCCAGTT